AAGTCGGTCGACCCTCAAGCCGGAAGAAATTCCGTGTCGAAATCTGTTCCCGCTGCTCCGAAGTCGGTGTGTATTCCCACAGATCAACTGGAACATGTTGCAAAACTGCTTCGCCGAGCTGATCGATATGATTTCGAAGATTTCGAGCAGGTCGCCGAAATGATGTACGACAACCTTCGTGTGTCGAGCTCAAGGCTTCGCAGTGTCGTTCGTTCCGGCACCGAAGTGGCTCCCAAATACTTCGTGTTTGGGCTGTGGACACATGGTGGGTGCTTCGGCCTAACAAAGCGTACTGGCCAAATGTCCCAACTGTGCCGCTACATAAATGGTTTCATCCGAAAGCACGCTCCAAAGCATTTTACCTGGACTTCGTTTGTCATCAATTTTATGGGTAGGGCAGGCGTTCACAGCGACAAGTTTAATCTCAGAGGCAGCCAAAACTGGTCCTTCGGCTTCGGTCCCTATCAGGGGGGCGAGCTCTGGGTGGAGGACCCCGACAAAGGGATGGACGCTTTCACCGACGAAGACGGTAAGACCTGGCATGGCCGCAACGTTCAAACTTGTCGCAAACCCGTGCTCCTAAACCCTCACCTTCGACATGCTGTCCAGCCCTTTACAGGAAACAGGCATTCTCTCATTGCCTACTCATCAGGGGGGTGGACAAAGCTGAGTGAAGATGACAAGCAACTCCTACGGGGAAATGATTTTAGGACGCCCCGGGCTCAGTTGAAACATGCGTGCGTTTGTTTATGTGCATCCCCTCACGATGAGGGGGGTAGAAATAGTCCCAAAACCGCTCCCGAAACGGTCGAGTCGTTTTTGCGTGCATCGATCGAGAACGCACAAACATACACCACATGCGCAAGTGCTTCGGTTGAGCCTGCTGTACCGACTCTTTCTGTGCTAGCTGGCTCTCTCCAAGTGGTCAGCAGCATCGAGGCATTAGGAACCATGTCGCGATTGGTCGCCCATGGTGCAGGCTACTCCTGCGATACTGGCATGGAGGGCCGACCTTTGGCACTGCAAGGACATCTCAACATGCTCGTCAACGCCGGACTGAGCGTGGAGTACTTGCAGCTCCAGGCGGGGAAGGAGTATGACGCGCTCCTCAAGTCCTATGAGGTCTTCCCCCCACAGACCATCGCCAGCCTCAGCCTCAATGACCCCGAGATTCCAACGCCGAATCTGCTCAAGCTAGCTCGCATCTCAAATGAGGGTCTCAGCAAGCTCCAGCCAACCGAAAGGTTGCGCCGAAGTCGCTTTCTGCTAGTGGTGACGGACTCAGTCACATCCCTTGGACGACAGAATACCAAGGGGAAGTGGAAATTCTCCATTCCCGAAGAGGAAATCTTCATGGCAGCACTGACCCTCAGGTACACGAGCGATAAACTCCACATGTGTTGGGGCAAGACGCTTTCATGGCTCACTTGGCAGGTGCAGGAGGAGATCCAGGCAATCCGTGCCAAGTATGGGTCGGAGTGCGAGATCGATGTGATCGTTTGGTGGTCAGGAAATGAAGTTGCTGGACGACGAGGATGCATCCCCACGCGGCTCGCCCCGGGCGCGGCATATTCAACCTCCCAGACCTCGGCAGAAGATGTTGCGAGGAAGGTGAGGCGCTGCGCCGATGCACTAGCCACCCTCGCGGGTGAGCCGCACATCGGGTTTGTCCGCATCGTCGGCAACGTTGACCACGAGACTTACAACTTGCATCCCGCATACAACGAATTCATCTCCAAGATGTTCCATGAGTTCACAAGTCGCGGACTGCAAGTTCAAACGGCCACATCCCAGGCAATGAAGCTGTCCTATTACGATGATTTTCATCTTTGGGATACCCCCGAAAACCGCAAACAGATCCAAGATTACATCTACACCACGGCGCTCCTTGGCGACCTGGAAAAGGAAGCGTCACGTTTTGCAGATGTTCTGGATCGACTAGGAGATCTTTACCCCTACCTAGAGGTGGAAGGCGGCTACAGGATGGACAGTACAGCAGGTCGTGAAGCCCTACGCCTCTACAAGGAGGTGGTTGAAAGTGGCAGAAACGACCTGAAGGTCCACAAGATTGAGGCGCCTGTGCCCGTGAAGATCAGCACGGAAGACACCTGGTGGGAGGTCCCCGACGCTAATACTGCGCATGAACCAGTTGCCGCGCCCGCTCAGCAAGACAAAACGATCGCCCGATCCGAGGTGGAGTATCCTGTGGTTTCGGACGTGTCGGAGATCGCTGAGGTCAAGGATGAGGTCGTCCAGGCCGAGTCAGAGAAGGCTGAATACCTTCCTCTGAACGAGGTCGTGTTCGCCGATGAAGGGGATTATCGACCTCCCCTGGCGTCAGATGGCCGGGCAACAAGCGCAGCTACCCGAAAGGGTAAGTCGTCGGGGCAAAGTGAGGATGTCTACGCCCGCGAGATGTACCAGGACGCATCCAAAACCCATGGTGCGGAGGAAAGCCAGGAGCCGGATCTCCCGATGACCGGATACTGGTACAACGGGACGCTCCACGACCTCGAGCCCCTGCCAAGTGCCGATCTCCGCAAGTATGAACAGCGGGTGAACTTTAGGCACGGCGACCTCAAGCTGCTCACCATGCTCTTGAGGGGGCACCAGAACGACTGGTATGGGCTGGACTTCGACATCGCCATGTGGACGGATGTCGATAAGCTCCTGGATCGTTTCAATGAAGCAACTCGTCGAAAATGGGGCGTAAGACAGCTGCTGCAGGTGACCGCGCAGGACAAAAAGAGGAGGTTCGAGATTCTTGGGATCCGGCATGAGATCAGCAACAGTCTGAATCTTTCCCTCTTCCCTGTGCGGGTCAGGGCAGTCACCGGTCACTCGGAGAAAGTGATGCGCATCGAGTCAGACGAGTTCCTTGCCCGGAGGTTTCTCACCAATGAAAATTTGGATGTCGCTCCACAGGTCATATACCACCGCACGGACGCGAAGAGCGTGGAGTCGATTTTGAAATCCGGGATCAAGGTCGCTGGCGGCAGAAAGGGCGGGCGTGCCCATGCTTACTTCTCACCTACCACCCTCAAGGACGAGAAGTACACCTCTGGACTCAGGTCAACGCAGCCGTTCCAGATTGCGGTGAATCTGCATGAAGCTCTCCGAGATGGCCTCGTCTTCTTTGAGAACAGTACCCGCGGGATTTTGACCCGTGCAGTCGTTAACCCTCGGTATATCCTTTCATGTGTGGACACCACCACGAACAACGTGATTTACGCAAGAACAGGAGAGGCCCAGTCTGCAGCCACCCGCGAGGGTGAGCCGGATACTGTTGACCAAGCTTCATCGAGCTCAACAGTCAAAGCCTTGGCGTCAAGGGCTGTCCCTGAAGACCAGCCCAAGCGAGTCAAGGGCACTGTTGGCGCCTTCCTTGAGGCAAAGAAGGCGAGGACCGACGCTGCTGCGCTGGAACCCATTGCAGAGCAAGATGAGGGCATCGATGTCTCGAAAGACGAGGCATCGATGGATGACCAACCGCAGCCTGCACAGGAGATATCCGACACGGAAGAGGCAGAGAGCGATAGCGAAGCCCCATATGGGAGCTATCCATGCTCGGCCTGCCAGCGCATCGTCCTGCTTGGGCAGCGCTTTTGCATGACATGCGGTGAGAACCAGTTTCCGGAGTCCAGCAAGGCAAGCCGCCAGTACACTTCGTTCCAGCAAAACCGCCGTACCACACTCCTCAAGCTGACGTACAACGCTCGGAATGAGGATCTCCTGGGACACCTCCGTGGTATCGCAGAAAAGTTTAGCAAACAGCGGGGCTCAGTCTCCCTGGATGCGCTGATCATACGCGATGCCAAAGACAAGTTCCAACGAGCGAGGAAGCTCAAGTTCGACTCCATCGCTGACCGGTTGGAACGGGATGCCACCTTCTTCCTGCAGATGATGAGGAACGGAATCACGGTTCAGGATGCGTGCCGAATGGACCTCCTGGTGAAGGCCGTGCTCCCGGACCCAGGCCGCACGGAAGAGCAGCGGCTTCTGCAGGCGGGGTCGAACTACCTCAGTGGAGCTTCCCGCAAGGGAATGCCGGGCAAGTTGGTTTACTATGGCGATGCGCCGATGGATGGCCTAAAATCGGCTGGACTGATTGACCAGTTCTCCGAGAACCCCATCGGGATGGCCTACGGCGGCGCATTCATCGGCTTCAGCTTCTATGCCGATATCGCCACCCGCTTGTCCGGTGCTCGCACAATCTACAGCTTCAACGGCATTGTGGAACTCAAGCATGAAACGCCGGAAGGCATGATTGCCGAGCTGCAAATGCTAGCAGCCGAATGCATCCACTCTGCCGAGGAGCAGGAGAGGATCACCGCCTATCACGCCGCCAAGAATCGAGAGACGGCACAGCAGCGAATGGAGACTGCCACGACTGCTCGTCCATCGACACAGAGCGCCTCATCAAGGGACACAGCTGTTCACGGAGCACCCTGGCACCAAGGGCAAGAACAGTGGTGGTCAGATCGTGAATGGCGCGAGTGGCGTGAGTGGCGTGAGCCAGCTAGTCAGGGTTGGGGCTCATCCCGCTGGAGCAATCAGCGCGGATCGCAGTGGTGGAGCCGCTGAATGCCCATTTTGTATGCACAATAGCTCAAGTTTTGCTTTTCCCTTCACCTTTGCTTCGGTCATAGCGGGTGGGACAACACGGGCCACCCGAAAGGGTGTGTCGCAATCCTCTGTCCACCTTAGCTTGTGCCAAGCACGGTGAGGGGGGTGTAGTTTCTCATGTAGGAATAACACTCCTTTTGCGAGCTGTGCATAACATCACAATACCCTCGACTGTGGCTCAAGTTGCCGATAAAAAGAGGCGTACTTAACGGTTTACATATTCCCTCATGTGCTGACCTGTAAACTTCAAGAACATGAGATTCCGAACCCCGGAGTACCGGCGAAATGGGAACTGACCGCAAAATCTACCAAGATACTGCTGAGAAGCGGTCTGCCGTCTGCATCTCTTGTCGAAGAGACATCCCATGCCACAGGTCCTGGATTTCAATCCAGAAAGCCTAGCTCCAGATGACTACTGCTCAACATGGGAGGCGCGAGTTGTGAAGTGCTTTCGCTGTTGAACGAGCCCATGTTGCAGATGCCATGGCTGTGTGCAGGTGGAGCTGCTGCTTTGATGCACACCCTCTTGAGTACTTTCCGTGCGTTTGGGCTGCCACCCTCACCTGCTAGATTCTGCTTGCTCGGTTTCGGGGATGCGAAGTCATGCTGTGTCAAGCTTCGCGAAGGCGCAGGCAAATCATTATTCATCCGTGAGAATGTTCAGGGTGTAGGCATCCCGGCAACAATGAGTCCAGTTGCAAAAAGGGCTACTGGTTCACGAGGCTGTTACTCAGTGACTTGAGTGGCCTCATGCTGTACTTGAAGGTTCATGGGTACTGCGACGTAGGATCATAATGTCATAAGTAGCCTAAATACGGTGAAAACCACGGTTACCCGACTTACAACCCTACTTAGAAGTACCCATGAACCTCCAAGTAGGGCTAGAGACCATTTGAGGATCCGCGTGGCGGAAGTTGAAGACGTGGCGGAAGACTTTCAGCAGCTGAGCCCTCGGTTCTCGATTGAGCAGATGCCTAGTGAGTGGCATAAACAGAGAGAAAGCAGCTGAAATCTGCTCGCTACAGGCTTCTGGAAATCGAGAACAGCGGTTCGAAAGATCGGGCAGAGGATTTTGCCTGACTTTTTGACACCGTTAACCTATGTGTGTTGCTTCCTGTTGCAGCTTCAGGTCCGTGCTTTGGAGTCAGGACTTGGATGCTGCGGCTGTGCACTGGCGTGTTCGGAGGCACACGCTGGGTGCCAGTCTCTTACGATGCTCCTGCTTGCACGTCGGGCAAAGTGTTTAAAAGTGTCGTAGCAGAGGCTTCACTAAGATTCCACGCGCCAGGTGGATGCCTGAGGGCACATTTTGCATTGCCAGCAGCCGGGAGCGAATTGCCATTTTGCCAAAGCCTCTGTCAGTGTTGCGCCATGTAGTGGAGCAATTTTCTTCTTCTGTCCCAGTACCGTTTACATCTGTGTGATTGATGTGATGGTGCTGTGTGCCAGGCCCGGCTATGGTTTAGTGCCCATTGAAGACCAGAATGTGCCTTGGCCGCTACTGAGGGATCAAGCAGCAGCAGCAGCAGTTCTTACAGTGCCTGGTAGGCACCTCCGGTGTCCGTTGCTGTTGGCGAAGGCTTGGCGACGGTAGACTCCAGTCCAAGGAAGTGACGTATCACACATAGCATGAGCAGTAGACAGCCGTTCCTCCTTCCTGTTTTCTTCTAAGTTGCGGGGCATTCGGGGCTTCCATCTCCTCTCGAAGTGCCTACTTGCGTCGGAAGGAAAAACGAAAACCATAAGAATGGCAACTCTGAAGAGTAGTCAGTGGTGCAAAAAAGCGCGCGTAACGGTGCCTTTCCATGCCCAGGGCTGTAGCAGCCTCCCGAAGCCAGGCCAACAGGAGGCAGTGGAGCTCATTGCATCCCGCGTTGGCCCGGGTGGCAAGGCTCCGTAGATTTTCTGGATCTGTTGACAAAGCATTGCTTTGAGGGTTTGGGGGGGGGGAGGGGGGGTCGAGTTGGAGCTCTTTTTCTTTCTTTCTTTCTTTTCTGGACCTAAACCATCCTAGTTAACTAATTCAGCCCTAAAACCTGGGAGGGCTTCAAGGCTTCGGTGTGGGGTTCGCAGCAATGTCTCGTTTTATCTCAGCAGTCGGTTCAAGTGGGTGCAGCTTGAATTGCCCGACGCATGTCAGCAAACCGTTTTTTGCTTGTTAGCCGCGCTAGGAATTGATGCACGGCGTGCACGGGTCCACTTTGCCGAAGTTCCAAGCACAGTCCGATCCCAGACACCTGTCGGCTTTGGGGGGCTATACCCATGCCAAGCAAGAAAAAGTGCGGAAAAAAAGGGTGTGCAATCGTGTTGGGGAGGGGATTCTGCTACCCAGACACCTACGGTGGCGGAGACGGCACGGTTTTTGTACCGCATGCCACGGCGCGTGTAGTGTAGCACAGTCCAGCTAGGCGGAGGGCAGAGACCCAATTTTCAAGAAGGCCGATCACCAAGCAATTGAACCTCCCAGCACCCCTTCGTCCTCAGGGTAGTCTGAAACAGTTTGAATCCGGCATGTCAGGGCCACCTCTACCTCAAGAGCCAGGCTTTGAAAGCAAATCGGCCAAACGGCTGTGTTGACACCTCAGATGGGCATCGAGAAGTGGGCCGGTTGTTGTGCAAAAGGTGAAGAACAGCGGCAGTAAGCCAGACTCCGTGAGTCTTACACGCCGACACAGTGGCACTATGAAGAGAGCTCATGAGGCAAAGCCATCGACCCGACTGCTGAGGTCATCATGGATGTGGAGCTGGTCGCCTTGGATCCCTGCCGAGGGCCTGGCACGCCAGGCGGGGTTCAGTGAGGGCGGCAGAATTTGGCAGATGACCCGTCTGGAATCATTTCTCGCAGCCGAAGGCTTTAAGGACCGGTAGTCCAATGCACATTGCCCGCAAATCCAATCAGGCCCACATAGCGGGGAATCTCCCACTGGCAAGCGGGCATACGAGTGTCTCCTCATGATCCGATCCTAGCCCTCCCATCTCCCATGCCATGGTCTTGAGTGCGCAGTGCGTTCCTGACGATGGCGTGACATCGGTGTCACCACGCTGCATAGCCACAATTTCTTGCTTTTGTCGTTGTCCTTGGTATCCTTTCGATGCTTGTTCTTTCGACTACAAATTCATTGTGTCGTCCACTTTTGTTGCTCAGTACCAGTTCATGTTGTCACCACGCCAACCGCGGCGACGATTTCTGATGCCGTAAAGAGTCAATACATAAAAGCAACAATACAACATACACCTTGGCAAAAAAATCACTGAAAACATCAGCAAGAAACTCCAAGCAAGCTCGCGCTGTTAGCAAGATTAGCCAACAATGAAGTGAACAAACATCAGCAAAATTCACATCGTCATGACTGTTGGTATTGGTATCACCCAGACCTCTGTTTCATAATACTGTTCGCATACTGTGCGCTTCTCGTACTGCTCCCACTGCCACTGCTTGCATTGCTGATTTGTGTGCTGCTATTTTTGGCGTTTTTGCTCTGCACACGCATGTGAACCTGAATGATGTTGCTAATGCCATGATCCCGGATTGGTGGTGAACGCATGCCACTATTATTCCCATGCCTAGCATATGTGTGACACATACGACTGGTGCATGTACTGCGCTCATGTACAAGCGGGAGTTTGCACCTTCGCATGACCCGAGGCTGAGCCGGCAGGCGGAGGTGAACGGAGCATGAATGTGCACAGCCTCTTGCAAGAAGGACGTGCCGTCACCCTCTCCATTGTTGGTCCTTTCCTCGCCGGGGCGGCTGGAGTCGGTTTGCTTTGGCAGTTGACGTCCCTCGGCACAGTGGCTCGCAATTCCCCACTTCCCCGTTCTGACTCTGGTTGCTATGTAATGATGCTCTAAATGATGCAACAGACTATGTGTCTTCACTCCGAAAGCTGCATTGTTTTTTTCATTTTTTTTTTAGGGGGGGGGGGGGAGGTTCTCATAATTCTTGTGTGATCTGATGGCTTGGACGGCTGCAATGCTGCCACAAGTCAGTGAGCCCGCTTTGCATCAAAAGGTGCTTGGCCCAGCACTTGAACCGGACACTGCGGATTCTGCCGCATGAGCGCTCGTTGACGACGACGCAGCGCGAGGCTGGGAAGGGAAGTATGGGATCTCGAGCTTACGAAACTCAGACGGCTGTCAACGAGTACTTGCACTTCCACTACGGGCCGCAATCAGTTCAGCTGAAGATGGCCGTGCAGGGAGCGTCGCAGGTAACTTGGGGATTTCAGCGCGTACTGGAGGTGTGCCTGACATATTCCACAGGGTCGGAGCACGCCTTGGATGTGGGGTGCGCCGTTGGCGGCAGCACCTTCGCCTTGAGCTCCCGTTTCCAGCATGTGGTCGGTGTTGACACATCGAACGCTTTCATCCAAGCTGCATGCTCCTTGCAGAGATCAGGGTCTATGCCGTACTTGGTGCCTGGCCGTGGCGAGCCTTGCCAGCTTTTTCAGTCCAGTCAAGCCCCCTACTTAGTATCCTACTAGTATGTTAAATTCAAGGCATGATGCACTGAACAAGCATTCCCAGTTAGGAGAGTTGGGCTTTTATCCCTCTCGACGCACGTCCAGCTCGCTGCAGCTTCGCATGCGTGGACGTCATGGATTTCATGCGCTCAGGTGCCTTACCCAGTACAGAAGCGGCTCGCACATGCAGATGTCTTGCTTGACCCTTGAGACTCTGTGAGTGGGGAGGTGCTCAGTTCGACTTAATTCTGGCCTGCAACGTCCTGTGCCGGTTGAGGGCACCAAGAGCTTGGCTAAGTTTGCTTCGAGATGCTTTGTCCTTGAATGGGATCGTGGTCTTGGCCACCCCCTACGCGTGGCTCGAAGCATGGACGCCACCAACAGCTCTTCGGATGAATCAGGAATTTTTTGGGTGGTCCCGTGTGACCCGAGTGGCGAGCGTGTGCATTGTGTGTGTGTGTGTGTCCCTATTCAGGAGTGGATGGGGCGATCCAGCGAGGAAAGCTCCACAACTCTCACTGCTTTCATGCAAGAGACCATGCCTCAGGATGGCATGAGTCAACGATACAGTGCGTAGGGGCGTAGGCGTTGAATGGCTAAGTGTGCTTAAGCGAAGGCACCTTGATTAGATGCGGGATCAAGCCATGCTAGCGATAGAAGGCGGCAGACATCTCGCATGGTTCATGCTCTTTGCATTCCCGAGGCTCGGCTTCAAGGAACTGCACAGAGAGGAGGTCGCTTTTGTGCTGGTGTCTCGCCAGTCTTTTGCCACAGTTCCCCCGTGTTGCAAACGATGTTTATGACTCCGTTGCTTTACTTTGGCTGAGGCGCAAAACGAGCGGATACACGAGCTCTTCATTTCTGAGCTAACTGCTTGGAAGCTGAAGCAGTGAGTGCTTCAGCAGATTTTAACACTCATCTTCTGTCTAGGTGCCATGCGAGAGCCAACGAACTCCCAACCGAGCACATGAGACCAGCCATGAGACCAGCTCCCCGAACTGGGACCGGCAGTTGCCACGGGGCGAAGAAAAGGTATCCCTTTGAGCTTGCCTCTGGATTTCATCGTGAAAAGGGGGTCGGAGTCTTCTCAAGTGGACCAGAATCGCCGCAGCGTGGCAGAAGCTGCGCGAAGATGTCGACTGCATGCTGGCAGATTCGGCAAGTAGTACCAGAACCCACGCCCCCCTAAGTCTTAGCATGATGCAGTTCCTGTCCATGCTTGGAAAATCTCGCACCATCTTCGTGTGAAGGCTGGAGGGGGTGGCAGAGCCTTATCAGCGAGCGTGAGACTGGCGACAGCTGGCTGGACGAAGCGGATGGCCGAAGGTCCTAGACTTGGCACCAGAGGGAGGCACACCCAGGAAACCATCAGCACGCACTGGCGAATTGTTGGGCAGCCTGAGAGCAGTTGGAGTTGTTGTGTGGCAGCCAATGAGGAAGCAGCTCGAAACTTTCGGGACTCTGCGGAAGTCCACCGAGGATGATGCTTGTTCTGGCTGCGCATGCTCGATTCAGGCTCTGCTCAACAGCCGTGACTTCGCAGGGCACTCGTGATACGGGGCTCAAGCGCATGTTGATGGCGAGACGAAGAGCGACAGCACAACTTTCATTAGAGAGCTCGTCCAAGATCCAGCACATGTTCGCGTAGTCTGTCCGAGCTTCAATGCCATGAGAATTCGGGAGGGCTTGCGCTGATGGCTTCGTCTCGGATCGGCTGCGTGTGCCTGCTCTTTGCAGGCAGCCGTTGTTGTTGCGTCGGAATCAGTGCAGGGGCAGTTGTGAGGGCAAGGTACTGAGTCGCAAAACCGAAGAGCAGAGCAGTCTGAAACATGGGCAGGCGTCGCAGTTTCATCCGTTGTGCCGGATCCTGCGCAGGCCAAGCTTTCGGGCAGAAGGGATGCCGTGAGTTAAAAAGTGTTGGAAAGGAGGCGATGAAAGGGGGAGAGATGCAGAGAGATAGAGGGGGACTACGTGGGAAGCCACTACCCTTCGCAACCAACAACCAACATCAACACCAGCAACGTAAACAACTTCAACCTCTCCCCACAACCCACGACACATGCACCGGTTTCACTCCAACGAACCAAGTGGAGTGCCTCTGGGGGCAACTCCTTCGGGGGTTACGTGCGCTGGAAGGAAGGAAGGCAGGAAGGAAGGGGAGTACGTGCAGAGGAAGGAAGGAAGACAGAACGAGAAGGAGAGAGAGTGGCTTCACCGGCTAACGGCAATCTTTTGTTCAAGCCGCTGTGTCGAACGTAGCCAGGGCTATGCCGGGCACCGTTAGTGTCAGATGTGATGACATCGGGGGATGTGTGTGGGGTTTTTTCCCCACCTTCGGTGTGGGGTTGTTAGATGTTAAACTCCATTCTTCTCCTCGCCCGGAACTCTTCTCCTTGCCGGTCTATTCCAAGAGACTCCCTGAAATGCCCAATCCAGAGACTCGCTAAAATGCCCAACCCAGACACTGCCTGGAGTGCCCAACCCCAGAGACTGCCTGGAGTGCCCAACCAGAGAGATGTTTTGGAGTGCCCTACCCCCGAGACTCCCGGAGTGCCCAACCCCAGACACTCCCTAAAGTGCTCAACCCCAGAAACTCCTTGGAGTGCCCAACCCCAGAGACTCCTTCAATGCCCAACCCCAGAGACCCCAACCCCAGAAACCCAACCCCACAAACTCCTTCAGTGCCCAACCCCAGAGACTCCCTGAAGTGCCCGAAAAATCCAAATCCCCAAGGTGGGCACGTTCGAAGTAAAATAATTTTGACTGTTACCCCTGCTTTGTTGTTCACTCGAAGATCACCGATAGCTACCTTGCATGTTTTTTCCCTCCATTTCCGGCCACTTGGTTTCCCGCGGCGTTTGAACAAGCTTCACGGAAGGGGGTTCCTCCAAGGTAGCGGCAAAAAAGGAGCGATATCGATATTCCCCCAAGTTCCTTGGTTCCACCTGACCTAAGCCCCCAAGAAAGAACGAGAGAGAGAGAGAGAGCACTCGCAAGCCCGAACTTGTTTCTGCGGCTCCAATACCGGGGCGGGCGATGATGCCCGCAGCTTCGGCCCCAAGAAAGAAAGAAAGGAAGAAAGAAAGAAATAATGCATAAGCCGGTCAGCGCATGGAAGTAAGGCCAAGTTTCACCGAGCCGGCTTTTGGGGAGGAAGGTTCACCTCAAGATGGCACTCGGGATCGCGTGAGGGGTCATTGCGACCCCCCAAGCCCAGCAGAAGACGAAGAAGAAGGAGAATAAGTTGAAGAAGACGAGAGAGCGAGAGCGAGAGAAGGAAAGAAATGAATAAAGAAAAAGGATGGAAAGAAAGAAAGTAAGAAAGTAAGAAGGAAAGAAGGAAAGAAGGAAATTATGAAAGACATAAAAACATAAAGAAAGAAGGAAGGAAAGAAAGACATAAAGACATAAGGAAAGAAGGAAAGAAGGAAATAAGGAAAGAAGGAAATGAAGAAAGACATAAGAACATCAAGAAAGAAGGAAGGAAAGAAAGACATAAAGACACAAGGAAAGAAGGAAATAAGGAAATCAGGAAATAAAACAATAAATGAATAAAGAAAAGGACGGACAGAAATAAAGAAATCACAAAAAGGCGTTGGGCGGGGGAGACAGATTGTTTCCAAGGTCTTGGACTGGCGCTGTAAGCAAATGTATGCAAGGCATGCCCAATGTGTGTCGGGCTCCTTTGTGGCTGCACGCTTTGCGTCTTCGTCCTATCATCCTTCTTGGGCAGCACGGGCCAAAGCTGTGGCGGCATGCATGTGACAGGTGCATGAATGCAAACTGGCAACGCGCAATACGAGTCCCCCCCAATCACGACCACGTGAGATCGGTGCAGGTCAAACACGCCCTGCGTGGTTCGAGTGGTCCTTCCACGCCGCGGGGTTGCACTTAATCTATCCACTATTAGAAGCTTGACCCTGGGAAAGGCAGGTTAACACATTGTAATGAGTCTGACATTTGCTACCGTTGCCATTTTTCACTACAAAGCCGGGGAAGCCGGGGTCTTTGCACTAAGGTCTGCTGTTACTCCACATGGTCCCAATGGAGAGGCGCCTGGTGAGGCACCGCCTATTTGATTGCATGAAAGGGTATTGTATCATTGTGTGGGATCCTACAATAAGGATTGTAGTGTTTCGGGTAGGATATATATATATATGCCATTGGTTAACGCCTGTAAACGCGTTTTGCCGTAAAACACGCTGTCTTTCAGGCCTCTGATTCGCGGCAGCTTCTCCTGGAAGTCCACTTCTGCGAATCGACGTTGGATATCTTAAACCCGGAGAACATCCATCCCATTTGGACCGTAACTTGGATGGAAAGGTCTCTGTCTACAAGTAAGCCGATCATGGGCAACCTCCAGCAACAACTGAAGCGCCGGAATCAACCCCGCAAACAAGTAACCAGTGGCCGCAGAGATGCAAAGGATGGCCCAAGCATACAGGCAAGACTGTTAATGGCCCCTCGCCAAAGAAATCTGTGACAGCTGGGAAAGCAACCGAGGAACCCTCATGGATGCAAGATGGCCGCTCAGACTGTCACAAACACGGGACGGATTCCCTGTGGGTACGGTCTGTGTAAGGGAGAGATCACAACGGTTCAGCTGCCAAGCATGCCTCAGGTGCAGCCATTTTTCTGAGTGTGTATGTGGGAATCACCACCGTTTGCGGCTTACGCTCGGTCACTGGCTGGCTGCGCAGGCTGCAGGCCAGTCGGTCACTTACGCCGAGGCCCTGATAGCTCTGGCCTCCGTGATGGATTGCCGGAAATCTCCGGCACCTCGGCTTCAGGTCATGCGAGAACGAGCGAGCGGCAAAACCTGAAGCCCAAAACTGTGCTCATGCTCAGTCTTTAGGGAATGAGCTGAGAAGACAAAGATGAGAAAGCTGGCTCAAAACCCAGGTGTTGGAGCGCATACAGGAAGCCCGGAAAGAAGCGAATCATGACTCTTGACTTACATCTGCGACCTTCTTTTGCGCATCCCTGCCACCTTGTAGACGTGTAATCGTACGTGTGTTGCGTCACATGGTGCACCTCAGGTGCATCATGGCGAGGGAGGGGCACTGAAAAGAAGCGCCATGCATTGTATTAGCATTGCATTGTGGAGGTCCTCTCATAAGACTCTATAGAGCTAATTAGGGCTACACCTGCAGAGCCAAGGTCTGACGGAGCGCTACGGCACCAGAACGGACATAGTTACCGAGATCCTTGAACAGATAACCGACAAGCAGGAAGCGGAGAAAATCGCCCGGAGAACGGCGCAGCTGCGATTGCTCCTGAAGCCTGATGCAGAGGAAGCCAGGACAGGGCAGTGGCAAAACTGAGCCCCAGCTTTGCACCATTTTTGTCATCGGGACTTGGTATCGGTCCTGCTTGCCATGTAGTGTCGCATGCGACATCTGTCATCTTTCGCAGGAAGAAGGCGTGCCTTGGCAGATGTTGATTCACTCCCTCTCGATGCCATTAGCCTCTGAAGCCCCTGCACAGATTTTGCTTTTTCTCCTCCGCAGACTAAGCCACTGCACAAGGTGTCTATAGAAGTGTGGGGCAGTTGAGTTGTGGGGTCTTTTGGCTCCGAACTTCAGGGTTTCCTTCTGCACTGAGGATGGCCCAAGTCCTCGCCCACTTCTGCGCCCGCTTCTCCTTGAGGTTCTACATGGCAGGACTGGAGCCAGATCCTTGCCTTTTTATGCTTCTTCTGTTAAAAAATAAGATCATGAAATATGTGAAATTAAAAGTGTCGATTCTCAGCTCGGGCCCGCAGCTCAGGCAGCATTCCAGCACATTCGATCAGAAGAGCTGCACACCGAGGGCCAAGCCGTTCCCGCCTTAGTTGGGACGCAAGACAGGTGGCCCGCCGGCCCGCCATGCAAACCCAAATGTTGCTCAGAGCGCAGGTTGTGCAGGAATTTCTCCTGCTGCCGCAATGGCAACAGGCTCGGATTGCATTCCTGACTTCGATCCGGCTGGTGACTGGTTTTTTTCCGAACTACTCTCTTCCTCGGTCTGCACCTTGGCAAAGTCCTTCTTACAAGGGCACTTAGTATGGGCCCTTTAAAAACCTTTAGGTGAAGTTCATTGCGTAGTAGTCCATGTTACGGTACGCATTTTGGATTCGCGCTGAAACATTAGGCACGGGTGGCGGCCACGCTGATTCAGGGCCTGGCGGCGGCTGCCACAGCTTGCACGATCTCCTCGTACATGGGCTGGAAGGTCGGTGGCGCCCCCAAGACTGTTCAAGACTTACCTCTGCGAGATTGAGAAAACTCGTAGCCAAGGTCGATCTGAGAAGCGCCGCGCCTGGCTTCTCTCCAACGAAATCCGAAGACCTTGTCTAGCAGATAACCTTCGAGTACCTGAAGAGTGCCGCCTTTCAGGTGCCATCCGACTGACGATCTAACAAGGTGGCCCAGCGCTTTTGTGTGAACTACAGAGTTCGTTTCTGATTGATGAGATGTGCATAGTGCCCCCTGTGATGAAGGTACGTGCGAGAATGCTTCCTCGCCTTTTTTTGCCTGCTGATTCAGGAGATGCCTTACTATGCCGCTGTCTTGGACTCATCCCAACCCCCCTTCCTCCCGGCAGAGTACCCCTTACGTCTTACGTACTCTCGGAAGCTACTCCAATCTAATCAGCCCGGAGTGAACGCAGCCTGCAACTCGAAGCTGCGACGTGCCGCCGTGAGGTCATCTTGAGAATTCGCCGGGACGGCTTCCTCCACGCTGGATGGAATAAGTTCGCCTTGGCCTGTTGCTCATGGTTCAGGAGAAGATCCTTAGCTTGTTTAGAGAAAGAGTGGGTTTCATGATTCATGACCAAATCATGAAGCTGAAAAGCGTTTCCTGTCACCTAGGATTCTTTTGGCTCTGCATGCATCTATGGTTCCTTTGGAGTGTGTGGCCTGTCTGAAATGGAGTCCGCTGGATGTGAGCAAGCTGCTGAAACATGTGGTTTTTCCACTGGCAAAACACCTCTCGCCAGAGATTGCGCTATGCTTCAAGCAGTCGGGCTCTAAGGTTTATGATTGTCCAGTTTTTGGCAACCTCCAGCACAGAGGATGGCGACCACTGGATCTTCGCGACCTGTTCATCTAGCCCTGTGAATGGTCGTTTGCAAACGGGCGGTGCAGTTGTAGACGCAAGCAGGAAGTCACCTCATGAGGTCGGCCCGTGTGATAAGGTAGCAGCCATCATTCTCATCACTGCCAATGTGCTGAAGCCGCTGATTGCAGCTTGTTGCGTCATGGCGGTCTACATCTTGGCGAACAATCTGGGTATGGCCCTTGTGTCTGACGAGGCCGAGTATGCTCTCTTACCAAGTGCATTAGCTGATGAAGATTGCTTTAACAGTGCCTGGTGCTGCTTCCTGGAAGACACTTTATGCGCTTCTTTACAGCACAATGCCCGCTGCTCCTTATGATTGCTAATGGCTCCCTGCTCAACCAGTCCTGGCTGTTGCCCTGTCTCAGCTCCACAACTGCTTGCGGCCGAAGCACGCCGATGAGCTAACGAATGAGGACGGCTTCTGCTGAATCCAACTTCCTTCCCTTCATCACCTTGATTCGCTTTTTCTTTGCCTTGCTCCGTGAGGGCTGTGTAACTGGGTAGTTGAAGAGAGACTTGCAAAGCGGTGTGTGGCCAGGACCTAGAGCAGCTGGACCGAAAGTTTCTTGGGCAGCTGCTGACATGCGAAGGCAGCGGCCACGTTTGTTTTAGTTTGTTTTTTATTTCTCTCTCTCTCTCTCTTTCTTTCTCTCTGTCGCTTTTTGGGGACAGGGGGCCAGTGTAAGTATGAGTGGACTAGCCAAACAGCACCTCGCACTGCAAGGTGATGCTGTAGCCGAAGAGACGGGCAAGAAAAAAAAGAAGAAAAAGAAGAAACGTCGTGGAGAGCTGGCGCCCTCTCTGAAAGTAAAACACTGCCACCGCTGCTCTGTAGAAGTTCTTGGACCTTGTGGAGCGCGGGAGTACTAGAATCAGTGATCTTGTAGCTTGTCTACCCTGATTCGACCACACACAGTCCGAGGAGAACAATGCCACAGAAGAAGAGGATGAAGGCAGGGCGGCTTCTCACTATAGAGGGCGCAGCTACACGAATCGTCTGCCCCTTGATTCCCAGTGCAGCACCTAGTTCTCGAACCCTGTGGTTGGCATAATTGTTGTCCAGCGCCTTACGGCCTTGCGTTTGTCCATGTGCACTGCGCAGGAAACCAACCGCCGGCTTCCAACGCCACAAAACAGGCAGGAAATCAACCCCCAGCTCCTTTCGAACTTTGGTGCTAAGACTTCTTGCATGCAGAACGCTGGCCAGGAGAGCGGTGAGAGCGAGGCTGAGACCACGATGTTGGACGAAATGATCATGGCTGACATCAAGGTGTGGGAACCCATCGCATGGAAGCTCACATGGAAGCTTTCAGATTACGAGCCGATTTGATCTCCGACTCTCCGAATTCGGAAAGCTCCGGAAGGCCGCCGAAGAGCAGGCCGAGAACCAACCTCGCCACGAGCGGCCCTTGAAGGTCCGAGATAGGGCGATTCCCCTGCGATCCTTCTTCCTTGGACTTGCCGTGGCATCCCTCAGGCCGGCAACACCCGAACGTCGAGCAACGACCGGGCCGCTAGAACGTCGATTAGAACGTCGCGGAGAATGGTGTCCTGACTCGCATAAGGTGTGCAACAATACGTGTCAGCATGCCGCATGTGCTCTTCGCCCTTCCGAGTCTGTGGGTCGCGCTGATGAACAAGTAGCTGAACGTGGACCTGCAGCGGACTCCAAGGACTGACAGCGTGCTAGGGACTGTAGTGCTGCAGCTGTCGGCGCATGCCCACCACAACAAAGATAGACGGAGTCCAGACGTAGGAAGGCTTTGGATGCCAGCTTTGGATTTGTATTGTGCAGTGGCAGGAGAGCGCTGAGGCTCAAAATCGTGATGATCTGGAAGAGCCTGAGTCCTAGGGTCCTGGTGCCCCTGGTGTCTGCTTGAGTCCTAGAGTATTTGTGACAGTGCTGGGGAGCAGTCTATTTGCCACCCGCAACAGGTTTGAGTCCTGGACCCCTCTGCAGTCAGAGAAAAGATGCTTGGCAGATTGGATCTAGGGCAGAGATGGGAAGAGCAAGCCCATCCCACAGAGACGTGGAGTCCTCGGCAAAGCCGTCTGGCCGAGGCTTCGATGGAGAGCCGATCAAGGTCGCGCGAGTCGCCCCGCCTTCTGGAACAGTGCAGTGGTGGGACGCTGGCGCGCCGGCGCAGGAGGCTGAAGTGAGCAGCCCTGCTTCATGAAAGAGCATGAGGATTCCCATCAATGACGCGCAGATGCTTGTAGCTTCTTGCATCCGATCAACCTTTTTTAGGTCATGCAGGTGTGCTCCAGGCCGTCATCCACTGGTTGTCCATACCGGTTTTATGATGTTTTCTGTATATTGTATACCGCACCTGTGGGCACGTCGGCTGTTTGGACAAAAGTTGCAGCTGATTCCCTTTGGGAAGTCGCTGCGGTACCCACTGCATATACTGGCTTTCCATCCCTAGAAGGCACCAAAAGGTGTAGGGGACATGGCCGGCTTTCAATTAGAACGACTCATGGTGAAGGAAGGATGTGCTCCAGTTGCTAAGCAACCGGTGCACAGGCTGTGCTGCCAAAACAAGGTAGACCTTCGAGCTGCAAGTTGGGGTTTACGAAAATAGGGGGATCCTCACTTTTGATCCACAAATAGAAGGATCCCCTCATTACGATAACCCCAATAAGGTACCCCTAATTTCGGAAACCCCCAAGTAGACTCTGGAGATTGGATCGCCCTTATGGACATTGACATGATGACACCTCTTATCCGCCACATATTCTCAGGACTCCAAGGGTGCGGAAGCACATGTGGCAGAGCAGGCAGGGCGCGTTGCTCCGTTGCAGGGAAAGTGTTGGGCTGTATTCATTGTATCTCATTGTGTTGGACTGATGATGTCAGGTGCACAAATACGCCTATAACGCAGAACGTTTCGGCCCTAGACCCCGTCGCTGAGTTGTGAGATGTGAGCACAAGCGCCGCCTCAACGCATGCTGTGCACGGCTATACGGAGTGAGAACTGTGCGGGAATAGCTTCCAGGCCGCTATCGGCGTGGCCTCAAGTGGATAGACATGGTTGGCATCTGAGCTTCTGCTGTAGACACTGCGATGCTTGCGGTTGTGCGAATTCTGCATACTCTGGACTTTGGAGTATTCTGGGAGAGTCTGCGCACGACTTTGCGAGGACAAGAAGGACGATCGCAAGCTGCAGCTTGAGCAGGCAACGCTGAGGCCAGGACTCTCACTTGGAGAAGTATAGTATAGTGTAGTGCCTTTTGGCCTTTTGGGCCAGGCCAGCACCTGCTGAGTTGTCTTCCTCGTCCTGTCAGGATGAGGCTAGCAAAGGCAATGTCGCTTGCTCACATGCGATTCGGCGAGAATCCGGAGCCAGCGGGCGAAGCTGAGAAGGCAGCGTCGTGCAGGGCATGGCATGTCGAAGCATACCACTGCGTGCCTTTGTGATCCTTTGTGCTGGGAGGCGGCGTTGAAAGAAGCACGCCAGCTGCTAGCAGAGGTTTTGAAAGTCAGCGAGGTGCCTTTCATCCAGACAAATGTAGAGCTGGCCTCCCTCGTCTTGAGCCAAAATCAATTCCCCTCCCCGCCCTCCCCCTCCCCCTACTCGTTGCGACACGGCATACCTGTGTTGCCTTGCCGTGCCCGCTCCTTCTCGAGGTCCCCTCGAGGTGCTTGACGTGTGACATTCCTATGCAGTAGCACGTGAATCGTCCGCGCAGGCTCTCAACAACGACTCCGTGAAGTATGAATGCATGAAAATGAATCTGCAGGCTCGGAAGCCGCTTGTTGTTGCGACATGGCATCGCACCCCATCCCCATGACACTTAACCGAACCTCGGCATGGTTGCAATGATCTTGCGCCAGGGTGAGTGGGATCTTGGCAGGTATGCATCCAAGATGAAGATGTTGCCGAAGCTAGAAAAGTACTCTCGCAGTTGCAGGACGGGTATGGGCATGAGTTCTGTTCCTCTCCGACTCGTGAGCTTTTGGAATCTACTGTCGGCTAGAAGCTGGTTGAGGAGGAGAGGCCTGACGATGAGGACCTCAAAAGCGACAACGCCAGGATGGGATCAGAAGTTAAGCCATCGCACGGGGGCAGATTCAGATCCGAACGCATGCAGGGCATGCGGGCAGAGAACGTCCTGTGCAAATGCATGATGACACTGCCCAAGTCCGCGCGTTGCTTGCCGCAGGCATTTATGGTTCAGGGTAGCTTCAGCTCTTCGTACCCAGCTGCACGATGGCAGAGATGCAGAAGGATTGATGTCTGTCAAACTTCATGAGATGTGGGTTGTATGCTCTTGCTCTGGCTATTTGGGACGTCCCTTCTTCAACAGACTAGATGGGGCTTGCTGTGTCTGAGTTTGGGGTAGACTCCTAACTGACAACCTGCATGGTGAGCAGCCAGCAGGTGTTAACTGGACAATCCATCTGCACGACAGACATGGGCGACTTGTCTCCGCTTTGTTCTTGCTGTGGGCGCAAGAGCCTTTCTGCCTGGGGGGGAAGCAACAAGAGACTCTGGCAGACAAGGTACCGATGGCTTCCAGAGCTCCGGAGACGAATTCGCGCCTCATTTGGGCAGGGAGGTCTCTCAGGACTCTACCGGATCACTCCTTCATGGCCAAGGCCGGATGAGGCTCTTCGAGGAGATCCTAAATGATTCCTGATGTAGCTGAGCTGCTCAACTTGTGCCCAGTGACATGAAGATCAATTCGGCAGTGCATCGTTTGAGGGTGAGACAATGGCAGCTGTAGCAGTTTATGTTAAGTTATGTTAGCATCTTGCAGGGGCGTGCAAGCCATGTGCCTGGTTCTGGAAGCCACAAGGGTGCCGCCACTTGGTGCAAAGTCCGATTTCCTGTCGATGCTCTTTGTCCACAGCAAGCTACAGGGGTTGTTCACACATGTTCATGCACTCGCCAGCCCATGCGTCTCTGATGAACTTGTAAGGCAATGGAAAAGATTGCCTTCACTGTCATCTTTGCCCCTGCCTCCTTGCTGCAGTAACATGAGGATGGGGCATCGTCGGTTCTCCCATGTTCTCCCGGTGCACGTTTGATGAATGTGGGCGTGGGCTACTTTTTGGCAGACCAGGCAGTGAGATCAAGGCCCGCAAGAAGAAGCTATTTGCAAGGCGAGTACGGCCGAGTACGGATTCGTGAATTGCATGTGCAGGGCATGTCGCGATGTACTTCGCTGCCGCTTGAGTGCTTTTCACCTTCCAGGGAGTGCGGATGTTGCTTGAGGTTTGAGTTTCTGGGGTGAAAGTAGACCTTTTGAACATACGCGTGCCCGTTTCTCTGACATCCCAAGCGATTACCTCATCTGGCCGGCTGCGGGCTTCAGTCGCTTCCTGCCTCTGCTGATGTTGGGGCATTTTCCTCATCCCCAAGGAGAATGAAATCCTGGGCTTTGTTTTGGGGACCCTAGCCGAACGGACCCGAAAGGTAGCAAAACATTCTGTGTGGCTATGGCACAACCTGTTACTTTGAATAATCCATATAATGCTTAACATATCTTTTGGGTTTTCATGGAAAATCATATATGGGTTGGGGTCTGGGAAGGGTCATGTTTGGTCTTGAGGCGTCCGAAGTCGGGATTGGTCTTAAAAATATGGTCTCGGCTTGCGTTTACGAAGCAAACCTAGTAGAAAAGCACATCTGGGTTGGGGCCTGGGGAGGGTCATGTTTGGTCTTGAGGCGTCCGAAGTCGGGATTGGTCTTTAAAAATATGGTCTCGGCTTGCGTTTTGCGAAGCAAACCTAGTAGAAAAAACACATCTGGGTTGGGGCCTGGGGAGGGTCATGTTTGGTCTTGAGGCATCGTAAGTCGGGATTGGTCGTAAGAAACATGGCCTCGGCTGGCGCTGAGGAAGTCAGTGTCATATACAAGAAATAGTGGGTCGCGCTATTGTGCAACCAGGTGTAGCCTAGCTCCTTCTAGAGCGACAAAAACTTCTGGACACGTCCATGAAGCGTCGATCACGGGTAGAAGTTTTCATCGGAGTTGAAAAAAATCATGGAAGAACGCAGTGCCCCTGAAGCAAGATCCATGCGCCGTAGGATTGAAAACACCTCCTCAACTTTTCCGAAACATATACAGGCGGTGTCTCTTCGTGAAAGATCCTGGCGCGCGCGCCCATGCCTAGGTTGTAAGTTGTAAGTGGCAACCAAACACCACGAAAAAAAAAAAAAAAAACTCGACTAGTTTCTGACACGAAAACATGGGCCCCTTGCCCACCCCCCCCCCCCCCCCCCAAACCCAACCCCCCCATCGCACTCCTTGCCTCAACGGCCACCGCCAGACCCCTCCCCTTTTTTTTGGGGCACCCCGCGCCGCCCGCCAACCCGCGGCCCGCCCCCCCCCCCGTGGGTGGCTTAAATAGGGTCTATTTGGAAGCTGGGACTCGGGTTTTCTTATAGCCATACACGTTTCCACGAGGGTACGCTGCTGTCACGTCAGTCGTACTATGGAGGCCTCAGGAACAAGAACCAGGTAGTTCCTCTTTTCTCTTCTCTTTTTCTCCTCAATCCTAAAGTCGAAGGCTCTCGTGAGGAGAAGAGAAGGGAGAGAAGGAGGGAAAGATAAGAGGAACACGATTTTCATGGGAAGAGCCAAGAAAAGAATAGAAGAGAGATAAAACAAGGCGCAAAGAAGATGGTACTCTTCTTTATCTATCCTCTCTCCCTTATCTCTCCGTTCCCTCTGTCTTTTCGAAATGAGAAAAACAAAAAGAAAGATGAAAAGAAGAAGGGTTAGGAAAAGAGCCGAAGAGATAGGCCGAAAAGAGGGGTATGGTGAAGTACGGCAAAGGTCCACGCACAAGGAGTCACCTTCTGCTTACCCTTCCACTGCTTGATTTTACAAGCTCCTTTCTTGTGTTTTATCAGTTAAAATTAAAAGGAAACAGAAGGAGAGAAGGGAAAGGGAAGTGAGAGAGGAGAGACAACAAGGAGGCCATTTTAATTTCCTGTGAGTTATCAAAAGGAATGCAATATTATGGGAAGAGCAATGGAAAAAAGAGTGGAAGAGAAATTAAGACAGGAGAGGGAGGTGCAAAAATAAGGCAAAGAGAAGATGGTGCCGTTTTCATCTCACCTCTCGTTCTTATCTTCCTCTTCTCTGGTTCTTTTCCCTGTGAAATAAAAAAACAAAAGGAAGGACAATGAACATATAAAGGAACCCGTTTTCGTTTTCCGTTTGGGCACAAGGAAAAAAAACAGAGGCGATAGGGCGAGAGGAGGGGTTTGCTGAAGCATGGGGAGGGTGTACGGGCAAGGGGCCAACTCCGCCCACTTCCCCCATCCATTGAAAGAGGAAAAGGAACAGGGCCTCCATTCCCCTCTTATTCTTCCTTTCTTGCGTTTTTGTCGTTTAGAAGGGAACAGGAGAAGAGGAGGGAGAGAGAAGGAGAGAGGAGACATAAAAAGGGTTGCATTTTTAATGGGAAGAGCAAAGAAAAGACCAGAAGAGAGATGATGGGAGAAGAGGGGGAGACAAAACAAGGCGCACAGAAAATGGGCAGATAAGAAGAGAGGAAAGGGAATGACCAAGTACAATGAGGAGTTCTTCAATTTCCCTCCCTATCTCTTATGTTACTTTTCCTTCTTGTGGGGTGTCCCTTTTTCTCTTGAAGATGCAGAAAACGATTGAAAAGGACACCCGTTCCATCGCCCATATGTAGGGAAAGAGAGAGAATCATGAGCATCAGCTGGGCTTGCTGCCAATCCAACATGGGCGTCCCTTTTAATCGCATTCTGTGTCCTTTTTTCTCGCTTGAAGATGCAGAAAACGATCCAAAAGCACATCTGTTGGAGGAAGAGAGAAGGAGAGAGGAGAGATACCAAGGATTGCATATTTAATGGGAAGAGCAAGGAAGAGAATAGAAGACAGATGAATAGAGAAGATGGCGCTCTTCTTTATCTATTCTCTCTCCCTTGTTTCTCCCTTCCCTCTTTCTTTTCGAAATGAGAAAAACAAAAAGGAAGAACTATGAGAAGGAGAAGAGTAAGGAAAGGAACAGAAGAGATAGGCCGAGAGGATGAATATGATGGAGTATTATGGAAAGGCTCACGCGCAAGGAGTCACCCTCTGCTTACCTTTTCACTGCTTTATCATATGAGTTCCTTTCTTGTGTTTTATCAGTTAAAAGGAAGCGGAAGAAGAGAAGGGAAAGGGAAGTGAGAGAGGAAAGATAACAAGGATGCTATGTTTCCCGAAGCGTGCTGCAAGGAATAGAAGAGACAGGAAGCAAGGAGACGGAATCACAAAATAAGGCGCAAAGCTGTACATATCATCTCTCCCTTGTCTCTCCCTATTCCCTTTCGAACTAGAAAAAACCATTCTTGCTTTTCACAGATAGGTTCCCTCTCTCCTCTTCAGGAAATCCCCTTTCCCTTATGTTGCTTTTTGAAGCGAATAAGAAAAATAGCAGATAAGAAGAGAGGAAAGGGTCAATTTCCCTCCCTATCTCTTATGTTGCTTTTCCTTCTTGTGGGGTGTCCCTGTTTCTCTTGAAGATGCAGAAAACGATTGAAAAGGACACCCGTTCCATCGCCCATGTGTAGGGAAAGAGAGAGAATCATGAGCATCAGCTGGGCTTGCTGCCAATCCAACATGGGCGTCCCTTTTAATCGCAGTCTGTGTCCTTTTTTCTCGCTTGAAGATGCAGAAAACGATCCAAAAGCACATCTGTTGGAGGAAGAGAGAAGGAGAGAGGAGAGATACCAAGGATTGCATATTTAATGGGAAGAGCAAGGAAGAGAATAGAAGACAGATGAATAGAGAAGATGGCGCTCTTCTTTATCTATTCTCTCTCCCTTGTTTCTCCCTTCCCTCTTTCTTTTCGAAATGAGAAAAACAAAAAGGAAGAACTATGAGAAGGAGAAGAGTAAGGAAAGGAACAGAAGAGATAGGCCGAGAGGATGAATATGATGGAGTATTATGGAAAGGCTCACGCGCAAGGAGTCACCCTCTGCTTACCTTTCCACTGCTTTATCATATGAGTTCCTTTCTTGTGTTTTATCAGCAGAAGAGAAGGGAAAAGCAAAAATTGAGCCCAA